CTACGAAGAAGAATTTTACGTTATCTCGAGCAAAGTATTTTTACAATACGGTTAAGAACACCAAGGAAACGAATGTAAGTCGGAAATTTGAGTGGCAGAGAGAAGAAAGCATGCATAACGTTGTTGCAAATGAATCGTTCGAGAGAGATGCAAGAGAAAGAGCAGATAAAAGAAAAAAAAGGGTAGCACGTCGTCCTGTTGTTGATCACTGTATCCATGTATTTTGTAACGTTAGCATTGCAACGCGCTTATATTCCTATGGAATCGATGGTTCGTGCCATAATTTTAACGAGAAAGATGAATTAAAATAAAAAATTGAACACGGCAAAAGCATTCGTTGAACGTATCGGTTGAAATGTATTTTCTCTGCGCTTGTTTCGATTTTCGAGATATTTCGTATCTGCCGTTCGTAAGCTTACATTTTATTCGTGCACAAGGTTATGTCTCAAATGATATTGTGTCTCTCGTAATTCTTGCAGGATGACCTTTGCTTTCTTTACTGGTGCCAAAGAAAATCACAAGAAATAAAAAAAAACACAGAATCACATAAATAGTATAGCAATACAATGTCTCGTAATGCCACCTTGACTCCATCTTTGTCGAAATGGATCAAACTTCGATAACGAACTACTCTATTTTTGTAACCAACCGAGAACACTTTAAGCGATTATTTCACATTATTCTTCATTGACTGCGCGCAATTTTTGTACGAAACTGTGACAATTTTTATAGCATTTGTTATTGAAGAAATTTTCAATCAGAATTACGCACAAACTTTTCGCACGAATTGCAAACCAACAACGGTTCCGTTTCGATTCATCGTGACGAACATGGAGTCGACGTGAAGCGAATAAGTTCTTTAAAAGCCCCTTTCGCACCTGTGTCTTACAACGCGCATCTTTGGACGAAGAATTCCATTCAAGTTCCATCTGTAAACGCACCTGTCCGTAAAACATCTGTCTACTTTGTTTCATCTACGAATGTACGTTTACTAGGTTTACGATTTTTCAATTATGAGGAGAAATTCAAAGGAAGCACACAAAGTCCCAATGAAACCAAAAGTGAACATTGTTAGACGCAACAATTTATGTTTAACTATTTTCTCTGTCGATTCATTTTTAGTTTCTATTCTTTCGTTCGTCCAAGGTATTTATTTAATTGCATCTGAAAATTTGTGTGCGTGCGAGCGATTGCCTCTGTTTTTGCTGTATCGTCTCTCGTTGCCACTATTAGAGATCGAAACATTGAGTTAGGCAGACGCAAATACATTTAATAAGAAAACTTTAACGAGAAGTCCTTGTCGTCGCAAATACACGGGCAATCGTAATCCCAAGCAAATACTGCTACTTGTCCGATTATTGTGTACAAAAACATGAATAAAAGAAAAACATACATACACATGAAAACGGTATTATGAATTGTAACGTACCTGTGCACTCCCAGAGACCGGATGTCGAAACACTATTACATCTACTACGAAACAAAATTTTAACTATTTTCTACGTTTAATGCAACGAAACATTTCTCGATCTCACAAATGCTACGCGACAACGTACGAGTATACTCTGTCGACCGGATTGCAAATCTAGAATTTCTTGTCGCACTTTTACGAGGTCGATTTTTTATTTCGCGTTACGCAAACTTTACATAGGATGAAATGTTTGTTTCGTCGATGATTCGCCAAACTGCGATTCTTCTATTATTTTTCCACGAAAAGAAGAAAGCACCAGCGTGTTTACATTCCCGCTCTTGTTGCAGTCTGCTGACCTTCCCGTCGTCACAGGCGTTACACGTTGACGAAAGTCGACGACGGTCACAATGAGACTGACTGCCAGCCTGAGAAAATATTCGCTCATTGTTGAACAGTATTGGTGGGTATTCTGTTTCACTCGGTCGCGAATTGACTGCCGTCGATCTTCGTCACCATTTTCGGCCAATAGCGATATCTGCGATGGCAGACTACAGCAGAAGTGGGAATCTAACCACGCTGTGCCTTATCTTGGAAAATACGTTCGAACACGATCTTATTCGGACTACTTTTAATTACACAGTTAAACAAAGTTTTGCAACAATTCGAATGTTTTCAACGTGGACGTTCGCATGCATAATCTTCCGTATCGACGAACTAAATTGCAGCAGGGTTAAAAAGCGTTCAAATCGCAGAATTAAGTTTAAAATAACATTTCAGTTAATTTGTGCAATCAACTCAGCTTTTGTTCTTTCGTCTAAATTAGTTCTGTTGTTTATTTCTTCTCTCATTTTGCAGCACGTAAAATAGAGATGTACAAAATTCTTATTTAGATAAAAATTTCGAATAACGAATAAAATATGAACAACTATTTATTCCGTAATCGTTAAATGAAAATTTCAATCATAGAATTGACTATTTCGTAAAGAACCGATAGAAGGACTGTTCGATCGAATAATACGCTATACCTACGTTAGATTGATTGGTTATCTATTATTCGAATAAAATTTTGCCCAACTCTGACATTGAATAAATAACGGAGGACCTACTTTTGTTCTATAAATGCATCAACGATACAAAATAGTAGTTGGTTATATTAAAGTTGCAAACGATACGTAGATAAAGATCGCCGGGGTGATATATCGAAGGCATTTCAAGGTCACTTTCGTTTGTATCCTTTAAGAAACCCAAGAGTTATTTTTACTAATAATTTCGTTGTCTCCTTTTGCAAAAAAACATATCGAGTTTGACAAACTAACCTTATTTGCTACCGATTGAATTTAGTTTATTAGATTCTTTAAATATGCAGACCAACAACAAATGATCTCGAAATGTCTTCGATTTCTTCATCTATCAATCTATCCTTTGGCATTCAAATAATTCTTTATACTCTAAATATCCAATATTTTTTACAACAAAATAAAACCACTTATAGATTAAAATAGACCACCCTATAATTTATCCGGTAATTTACAATCCCAGCTTGAAATCACGATTTAACGACGAAGAATAAATCGAGGAATTCAATAAATTTTTTCGTTGCCACTGGCCTATTGAAATTTCTCCAAGTTCTTATACGTTTTTTTCGATCATTCGCTCGGTAATGTTGGTCGGCGCGATTTTTCATCTTGAGCGCTTGTGAAATCTTATTGGAGAGTCGCTTTGTTTAGAATACAGGTTGTCTCGGAACTACAGACGCAAACTTAACCTCTTGCGAGTTTCATTAGCCAGCTACATTTGTGCCTGTGGTTCCAAGACACCCTGTACGGTATACAAAGAAGTGCTTGGCGTCGAAAGGGCGACATGACTCATTGAATGAAACAAACGTGTTTGACACAGAAGGATTGTATTTCGATGATGGAGCGCAAAGGGTTTCGGCAATGAAATCGGTACGCGTGTAAATACATTGTCCGCTTAACGAGGTAGTTGAATCGGTGAATCGTTCTGTTGTCTTTCTTTCGTTTAAATCAGCCTCGGAGAAAATCGTCAAAGGCAAATGAGAAACGCGAGGCGCAGACAAAACGTTGGGAACCACGTTCCACGATGGATTCTGTACACTAAAATACTCAAACACACGGTGCATTTTTTTATATTATAAAAATTGTTGAAGAATCGTAGTTTGGAGAAGAAAAGAAAAAAAAAAAAAACAAAAAGAAAAGTGAAACGAAGAGACAGAAAATAAAAACTTTCGAGAGCTGCGCTACACTACTAAATAAACGAAGTTAAAATTAACTTCCTTCCGTTTATTTAATTTTACTGACTAGAGCGTCGATCGAGTGAATACATAAAATTACGTTTACAACTAAAACTAAACGGGCATCCACAAAGGGGCCTTGTTATTTTTCGTTTCGTTTACGTTTTAAGAAAGTTTTTCTGTCGCGTATAGATTCGAATTACTAATTACTTTTTTTTTTTTTTCCCCCCTTTCATTTTCATCCCACTTGTAAGCATCATACAACTGTACAGCTTTAGGTTATACACTTTTTTTTTTCCGTTTTCTTTTTCTTTTAATGTCTTCGTATGCATTTGCCTTTGATTTTTGATTCGTGCACGCCTCTCGACAAATGTTCGCATCGATCGCCTTCGCTCGTTATCGAGATTTGTGAATTCGTCTTTTTGTTCTTGTTGTTGTTGTTGTTGTTTTTATCCCAATGACGCTCCACACGCATAAGAGAAAAATAGTTCGTATTTCGTCGTTTACTGGCTGTTACGGAAACGATTACTGCATTAAAGATGGCCGCCAATGTTGATCGACTCTCGTGGTTCTGTCGCTTTGCACAGAAACAGTGATAATGAGAATGCCGCGTTCGATGAAATCACGATAATTTCGGACAGTCAGTTGATTGTTTAATTAGAACCATGTACCCGGCTGTCGCATTTCGTGTTATTCTCGCTCTTACCTCTCTATCGCTCGTTTAGCCAAAAAAAAAAGAAACGATCGAAAGTAAAGAAATTATACGATACTACGTTGTTGTTGTTGTTGTTGTTGTTGTTGTATCATGACACAACAAACTTTCGAGGTTCGACCGCATAAATCTTGACATTTGATTCTTCAAAGAAATCAAGTTATATGTATATATCATACAAGACGTGTTACGCTTATGTAGCGATACAATTAAATATTAAATAATTATAGACTACATTCTCTTGTTAACAAAAAGAAAGAAATGAACTTAGCATACAGTCTGTGTACAAAAAACCAGGATTTACAATAGCGTACTAACCTCAATGTATAATAGGAATATAATAATTTTTATCACATATAAAAAGCAGTTGTATATGTACATATCTGAGTAAGATTAGGTACCATTATCGTTATCATTATTATTATTATTTAACCGATAGAAGCTATTATATAATTTGGTACACTGTTTAACGTGGATATTTGATAAATACGAACAATAATCAATATGTCGTTATTTCCTGGTGTCTTGACATTGTCGTTGGTTTCTCATCGCACGAATTCCTATGTATACACACGGTTCGCTTTTTTTTATCCTCATTACACGTGACTTTTATTTTCTCTTTTTTCCCCAGTTTTCTTCATTTTTTTTTTTTTTTTTAGTATCATCTATATAATATCTATATAACACATGTTATTCAATAAGTCAGAGCTATGGCCAGTTCATAAGTTTAAAAATTGTCCGATCGCAGTCACGTTTGTCTCCATTTAGTTTACGCGTGTATGCCCGATAAAATGCCATAACCGGTACAATTTGCCTGTCTAAATTCCGTTTCTTGTCGAGTGGGAAACTCAGAATTGCTTTGTTACAATACCGCGAAAAGACCACAGCTCTTTTCTCAACGATGTGATCGTACCATAGAACGATACAAATTAGAGTTTTATATTTGCTCCATACCCTTTTGGTGCTACCGTCACGCTTTCTTCAATTCCTTTTGTTTGTAAAAATTTGGACTTCGAACAAGGACTCGTCTTTCTCTCGCGACAACACGGATCTCTTATGCTAAAACCGAACAACAGTTCCTTTCAGCGGCGTTTCAATTATTCATCGTCAACGGCGTCAAGTTACGAGTTATCCCGTTGTTAGCTTCCATTTTATTCAACTAATTTTAATTGAACAGTCGACACTCCGGCACCGCGTACTTCGACGTATGTATCTCTCGCGTAGTTTTCATCGATTCCATTCTCTAGCTTCTCCGTAAATAATCAACGTAACAGACAAAAATAGAAGCAATCGAATTCGAAGTAACAACCCGATCTCTTAAACATCTATCTAAGAATACAAATGGAGTCGCACAATATCGAAGGCACAACTCTTTCAAATTGGATGAAATGAAAGAAAGCACAATGGGAGGCATCATTGGTGTATGTCTAAATTCTTAAACAGCGTAATCCGCCGCACAGAGAAATGACTTTCCTTCTTTGATGCTTGAGATTAAGTACAAGGAAATTTCTTCTTTCATGTATGTGTGTGTATGTGTATATGTGTACTCTTTTTTCTTTTAATTCGTCTTGAAAGACTAAAATAGTGAAATATCAATAGTTGCATAATTTTCTTTTTTTTTTTTTTTCCTTTCTGTAGCTCTGCTTTTGTTTTTCCAATTAAATCGTAAACTACTGTACGTTTAGCCTTATCTTTCGGTCGTTAGAAAGTTTCATTTTAACGTTTTTTTTTATTAGTAACAAATTTACATAGGCATACGGAAACTTACGTTCTTTTATACCTTTGTTTTCTATTCGGCAGAGACGGGATTCCATAACACTATTCGCTATACATTTATACAATCTTATCGTATTCCTACACTCGAATTCGTATGCATTAATCGAGGCAAGTCAGATTCATAGCTAAATTGTTTCCTTTTTTTTCCATTTTGTTTTTCGTTTCCTGTCAACCTCTTCCGGAGGTTTCTTCCTACCAGAACGTCACCATCTCCAAGTTCGAAAGCAGAAAACCGATCATGGATGCACGAAATGAAGAAATGCGCGAACGTTTAGGTGTACGAAAAAAACCACGACGGGAATTGGTTGCCTCAACCAATACGTAGAAATTCTGTTCTTAATCGTAATCGCCCTGCTGGTTCTATCGTCGTTCCTCTTCTTCTCTCGTTAATGCAAATAGCTATACCCACATCGTATCATTATGAATTGTAACTGCCCACAATAAAACTGACAGATTGCAAATGCAAAGTTCGTGAATACCAGTTGCAAAAAAAGAACAGTTTTGCGAGTTATATCTGTACAGGTGCCTCTACCGTTCGGCACCAAGCTGCTGGCGCAGTAACATCTAAGTAGTTTGAAATTGTTTCACCGAGGCAGCAACTTGGTAGAACGTCAGTGTTTAGCGTTCATTATGGATCCCGGCTGGTATTTTGCGATGACTCACAGTTCTGTGGACTGTGTAACTGGTGAGCTAAAAGAGGAGTGTGAACTGGAGACGGTCCAGGTTGCGGTTGTTGTTCCTCCAGCATTTGCTGTATCACGGTCACATCGGGGTAACTGAAAACAAAAAATTACGACCGTGCCTGCAACGCGATATAAACATGGCAATTTTCATTACCAAACAGTTATATATTTTACGACACTATATTATATTGCGTACATCCTTGTACGAGTCGAAAAAACAGTTCGGAAGCTTTCACCAAATGGAAACTGTCGTGAAAATCATCGGTGACAAGATAAAAACTGTCACCGAAGTGATTTGTAAAACTACGATGTTTTAGAGATTAGTGTAATGTAGAAAGGAATCTTACCCTAAAGACATCCATCCTAGCGTGCGCCCTGATCGCATTACCACTCTATTTTGAGGTTGGTACTTCTCTGCTTCCTCCGCGCATTCTTCGCTCGCGTCTTCCACCTCTCGTTCCACATCGGGACAAAGTTCATATGCTCTCTCTAATGTCTTCCTTGCACTGTTGCTGCGTTCTAATACGTATCCATTCGTAGAATCATTAGACTGCGCTGGTGGAGACCAATTACTGTACGCGTGAGTGTACGGTGTCGTAGAAGCGTACGGTCTCTGCAAAAGGAAATTAATATTCACGTAGTCGATCTAATTTATAAATAAATCGATACTTTCTGATATAATTAAATCGTTCGTCGTCGTTGAACGCTTACTTTCTCGAGTTCTTCGTGAAGCCAGTCGATAGCGTGAATCCACTTCCTCTTCAATTCGGGATTGTGATGCAGAAGTTGGTGCGCAGGTCTACATTTACTGAAAAGCTGCACCATACATTTGATGCACTGATAGGCTCTTTTCTGATAGTGGTGTTTACTTCTTTGTATTATTTCGAATAATCCTTCTCTTTCGTCCGGTACACCTGGAAATATTACAAGGACGAGGTAGTCGCATTTGGCAATATTAATATATATGTTACTGTATAATATTTTCATCTACATGTATACCTTTAAGAGCATTATGAACACGATGCGTCTGCCATGAATCCTCCATAAGAAGCATGGCAAGTAGTAATTCCGTGTGATGTTTCAGCTCGTGTGTGAAAGCAAATCCAATTTGCCATAACAATTCGCTGAGTACTGTCCGTGATAGGTGTGGATTTTCCCAGCAACAATATTGCAGTAATTTCACTGTGTCTTCGGTGACGTTCACGTCGGCATCTTCGATCAGTTTTTTCATGTAACTATCAACAAAAACGTATATCACCATGTTGGTAATAGGTTTGTCTTTTATTTGCGATATTCGTTAACGAGCAATTCTTACTTGTTTTTAACAAAAAGGATATCCGCTGCCTGTGGTTGTATAGGCATTAAATATTCATTCTGGCAGGCCGGGTCTCCGTACGGATTCGGCAAAGGCGCTACTCCTGATTGTGCATGACTTGAATGTGCTTTCGATGATACGTCGCAGCAACGTATTAACATGCTAACTACTTGGTGCAATTTAGTCAATTCAGGATACTGATACTTTATTGTAGGGCCGGGTCCCTCGTCGATTGCAACCAACATAAACGTAACCGGAACGTTCAACTATAAATAAAATAAAAATTATAATTTTTTATCGTTACTGCATTTCGTAAAATATTGTTCCTCGATTCCGTGAGAAACTGGTTCTTTACCTTAAGCAACTGAGCCTTTTCAGCAAGACCAAGCGACGCGTATGTGTAGAACAAGGAAAAATAGTGTGGTAGGTGACGCCCATGATCGGAGATTTCACGATGAAGCAAAGAAAGAACTGCGTGCAACAAGTGATCGCTGAGCGTCGCCGTTGGGTCCAATAGTATGGCTGAAAAAGTATTCGAAAGAAACGTCAAAAAAGTGTTATTTCTATAGCGTCCAGGTCTGATTCCCAATAATTGCATTGAACGTACTGTGAAAGAACTTACTTGGTGCGTTTAAACTAGGCGGCACGCATGGGCCATCCTGAAGGGAAACGTGTGCAAGAAATACCAAAATTTTGAGAAAAGCTGTTCGAACTTCTGTACTGGGACAGCTCAAAAGGTACTCGCAAAATCTAAAGACAATTAATTAATTTCGTTAAGTATTGACGGTGCCTAGACTCATGCATATATACTGAAGAAAACTCAAGATACGTGGTACCTATGCGGATGATTAAATAGCACATTATGAGCAAACCAGGACCGCACAGATTTACTACTGCGCAAATGGTGACAGACAATATCGTACCAATCCGTTGCATTTCCACGCAAAGTCTTTTTAGTATGGAAACCTGTATAAAACAGGAATCTCGACGCTAATTGAACGGACAACATAGCAAGTTCTTCCTGCTCGGAGCTCTACAACAGCAACAGTCATAAAATTATCAGAAATTATACGTTAAAACGTCAACGTTCAAGAAATTACTATTTATCAAACGAACTTACAAGTTTCTCGTTCATATTTTGCCTATTGATGTTCAGGGGATTGCAAGATACGAGTTTCTTGATAAATTGAAAATACTCCGCGCTAAATTGGTTCCGATTATGCATGAATTTTATATTCTGTTTTCTAACGCTGTATTCGATAGCTGGTGGCATTTTCATAACTCCTAGTTTCGTATCTAAAAGTCAAAGAACCTCCATAGTACGCGAATTTAATAACGTTTAAATCGGAACAGAATCTAAACGATACTTACACAATGATAATTCATTAACGCTTTTCATCAAACAATTTTCCTCCACGTCCAATCTGGTGTAAAATAACATATATGCGTTCCACCATCGTTTCTGCTTCCGGTAACTCATCCGTTTAAGCATGTGATCAAACACTTCTCCCAAATAATCGCCGCCAAAGCATTGAGACTTCATTTCTTCCTCCTCTTCCATTTTGCATTCCATAACATCGCCATCGTCGAATTTATACCATTTAGCAATGCCATCGCTTTGCCTGACAAAGTAATATTAACGTTAATCCTACTTCAATCCAACCTAACACACGTGTAATTGTTCAAACTTTCTTTAAATACCTGTGCAAAATATAAGAATAGTAATGGCCCCCGCTAGCCTGACCACTGTGGACTACGATGCCAGTCAATTGGTATTTAGTACAAGTTCCTTTTATTGACTCCTCGTAGTCACAGTCTATAACTTCTCCCTCCACTTTAGCAAGTCCAGAAACAGTATAAGGTTCCATATCCAAATCTCTCGGGAATTCAAAATAATCGTTAAACTTTATGGCGCAAACTCTCTCAAAATCGTATTCGAATCTTTTCAATTGAATGGCTAAAACAGGTGGCAACTTCTTCACGCATAATCGTTTCACCGTCACGACCTGAAAACAAAATGTAATAATACATCGCCTGAACAAGGGAACATCGTTCGCTATCTAAATCTCCAAAAGGTATACCTTTTTGTTACATTTATCGCAGTGATAAGCATCTGCGCCTTCTAGCAATTCCCCTTTCACGTACTGTTCGAGAGAATCCAATAGATTGCTGTGATTCCTGATGTCCACGCTTATCAAACTGAACGGCTCTTCCTTGGAATATCTGCAGATAATGTAATGCAGTATTACAGTTTACCGAAAAGAGCAGAACATAAGAATTAAGAAGGTACCTATGAGGGCAACCTTTGCAGATTTTCTGGTCGCTGTATGAACCACCAAGAATCCTGCTCATTATCTGTTCATGTCCCAAAGCTTTTAACGCCTCGTCCAAGCTTTCCACTAGGCTCATGAAAAATTCTACAGCGTCTTGTTGTTCCCTGAGATTTACAGGCTCACCCTGAAGTCTGAAAACAATATCGCCGGCACTATTGTAGTATAATAACTTAACGATGCATAGTAACCAGTATTTGAATTTACAGAAACATTATACTTACTTAAAATGTTTCCAGAGACCTCTGGGTATATAATATTGCAATTTGCTGTAAGCCAGATGACCAAAAATCGCTTGGACCTGTTTCAGAATGCCGATATTATATTCCTTTCTGGATTCATCGGCGCCGCATTTCTCTTCGTTCGTATCGTTATCGTTCGCTTCGATCGTTTGTTCTCCCTCGATCCTCTCCTCGCCGGAGAAATCCTCGTTCAAGTCTGTGGCTGCACCCTCCGCGGCCAGAAGCCCGACCCTTATGCTCTCGACCATGTACAATTGTTGTAATACTGAGTTCATGTAGCAAGTCGCGCCTGCGTTCTTTAGACCCACAAAGCCCTTTAACGGCCGAAGGCCAACCGGTGGTAGGTAATCCCACTCTACTAGCGGTTCGTCTCTCTCCGAGTAAAACATGTCAGTGAGCATTATGACTAGAAGTTTCATGTTGGGTGCACAGCCTATACAAAGGCCTACGAGTAGATCGAACGCCGCGCTGGTCGACTGAGGCGTGGTGCAGACCGGGCTCGCTTGCGAGGCACTTAGTTCGCCGGTGCTGCGCAGTTGCAGCATAAGACGCGACGCGGGAAACACGAAGTCCTCGACCAATTCTTTTATCAAATTTGCGCCGTGTTTCTCGTCCGAACCCAGTTCGTACTTCTTGCTCGGTGGCAGGAACGCCAATAGCTCTTTAGTGAGGCCTAGGTGGCCCTCGAGGACAGCCTCGTCGATTTGACTCTCGCCGGTCTCTTTCACGTTGTCGCAAACCTTCTTCAGCCACGCTATCTCGATGTTCAACAACGTCTCGGCGGTCAAGAGGGGACATCCCGACATGTGAGAGAAATTCAACAGTCTGCACAACAGCTGAAAGTACTCGTGACTCTGTTTCGCGTGTTCCATCACGGTGGTGTTCAAAACCGAGAAGAGCAGAGTTATCGCGAACAGCAACGGCTGATGACCGCTACTGTACCATGTCGATATAAGAAAAAACTGCTCGGCCGCGGCCATTCTGACCATTCTCGACGTACTCAGTAACACAAGATCTATCAGAAACGTGTGCCACATTTTGTCCCTGGGCAATGATTCCAACGCGGTCGGGTTCAACACCAAGGCGATCGTCAGAACTTCCAACGCCTCTTTGCACACCAACACGTCGTTGTTGTCAGGATTGTTAAACGTTTCTTTCTCGTTTGTCTCGTGCAGCGTATGAAGCATTTCGACGGATGCGTTTATATTGTTTAGATTGCCCGTGGATGCCGCCCATGCTAGCTTGATTATGGCACGAATGGTTGCTACGTCCGGTAGCTCCCAGGATAGGGCTTGCATAAAAAGCTGCCGACATTTCTCGAACTCCGTTCCTCCGCACAACATCCGACGCGATAGATGTTGAGCCAACTTCGCCGCCACGCTTCTCAACATGTACTCGGTGTTCTGGTTCGGTACGCTTTGCAACGCTTGCTTCAGAACCGCCACTGGACCTCGATTGTTATGCACGTGATTATCATGATTCTCGGAAATTCCAGCTTGCTGCACTTCGTCCATCACGCAGACCATCACGTTACCCACCACCGTCAACAACAGTTTGCACAACTTCAACACCGTTAAATACGCTGCCCGTTTCGTGATCTCGTCGGCGTTTGGTAAAAACTTGTTTTTAGTTAACATCTCGAGGATAACGCCGGCCTCGCCGCTCTTTATGAAATTGCACTGAAACTCGAATGCTCTTTCCGACATCGGGTCCAGAGCTGGCATTAACAAACTATATAAAACCTGAAACGCATACTCCAGTTATGAATCCTCCTTGAGAGCGCGAGAAACGGTCCAAGACTTTACAAATACTATTTACCTCTAAATTGTATAAAACTTGGCTAGGGCTCGCAGTAAAAAATAAAGAATCTACCGTGGTATTTTGTTCATTACAAAGAGCATTATCTAAATTATCGTCGTCCTTACATTGACCGAACAACCACTGTAATCGCGACACAGTGAGTGTATCTGGTGGCACCAATTGTAACAGATTTCGTGCACCGTCGCGTAATTGCGCGTGCTGAAGTGTACATCCTAGATCTGACAATTGAAAGAAAAACGTAGCGTATTGCGATCTTTGCGATATTACCTACGAAAGAATATAATAATGTTAGGGTAGAACAAAGATGGAACGAATATTTCAAGAAAAAAAGACATTCCTGTGTAAAGAGAAATTAACATACCACGCCCGGTAAGCTATTTTCTGCCTCCACGTTCGGTCCATCGTATGGATGATGCGGGGAACTAGTGGAGCTATCAGAACTACTATCTGGCGAACTTGGCATGTTACTGTTCACTTGACTCAGCTTTGCAGACAATAGCTAAACGAAAAGTATTCAATTTATAGTTGATAAATATTATTTGTTAGCAATTTATGTTATATTTGATTAATATTATGACGAATTGTACATCCTAATTGCAAGAAAAATTATATTTTAATTATTAGTACAAACCATTTTATCTCGTAATGGAGTTTGAGAAAGAAGCTTTCTGTCGTCCGCTGGCTCCAGGGACTCCCCATTAAGAAATAAGTCAAGTTTTACGTTCGATCCGTTTGCTTTAATTCGGCGCAGTATTTGTCGTCTCAACGATCCTAAAGTGTCATTACTGTGTGTGAACACATCTATATCATCTACATTGCGACCAGGATTTGCAAAACGAATAATGAGAGACAGATGCTTCCCACGAGCTGCTCTGTAATTAAACACGATACAACGTTTTCGTTATACATATAATACAACATGGAAATATTTTCAAGCAGTCTTATCCCATACACTTTTTGTGAATATAAACAACTAATTATACCTATGTAATGGCAATATTCTTCGTTCCACGGGAAATGCTGAATCGCACTCGTTTATGTATTCCTGCAACACCTTCATGACGCGACACATTTTCATAGCTTCCACTTTAATTTTATTCGACATTTGTTCCTCGCGTTCCTCTTTCCCTTCGAGGTACACTTTGCTCAACACGGACACAGTGTCGTAATGTGCTTTCAATCTGTCCATGCACTCGCCTATGTACGTCACATGAAACGCTAGAACCGAAGAGTGAAGTCGCGGTCCCAAATTAGTGTTTACTTCCTTTAAGAGCTCAATGGCGCGATTTGCAATTTCTTCGGGGCTATTGGTTACAACCTAAATGAAGAAATATACAAACACGTGTAATTACAAAAGACATTATTGCCATAGAAATAACCCAACCAGGTGTTACGATTTTACTCACTCGCCACAAGTAATCTGTACCAATGAGGTCAACGTCATCCATAAAAAACGTTCTTCTTTTTAGTTTCAGTTTCCCCTCCTTCGAGTTAACGGCTTTGAAAAATCGCTCGTAACATTTAATACCGCTTTCTGTCAGTAATGTTGGATCCAATTGTAGTATATTTTTTTGGAAAAAGTCTTTGTTTATTGCTGGATCAAGATCTGGTTCGTCTCCCATTAATTTCGAAAACCACTTGAAGCAAGCTTCACGATCGGACACGAATACGCCCTGTTCTGCTAAACACTGCCAAATTTGTTCAGCTTGATCTTCGCATAACCATAATTGACCATCCTATCAAAAGATATACAATTAATCGATGATATACATTCGCGATTGAAACGTTCTGTTATTATGCAAATGATCGTAACATACTTTTAATAAGAAACGAAGGAAATTAAGCCTTTCTTGCACTTGCATAATGTGATTGTAACGATCATCGGGCATGTAAGTGTTCGCATCAATTTCCGGATTTTCTTTGACCAATTGCCGCATTTTATCCATATAGTTTGTTAAACTGTTCGTTACAAGAATTACTATTGAATGTTCTGCTTGAAGTCGTTCAATAACATCTTGCCTAAACGATACAAAAATAACAAGTAAAATATTGTATAAAAGAAAGCAAGTATTGTTAATTCTAAATCACAATTAGCATTCTCCATATCGACATACCTAAAATGTAAGTGATGACCACGTGGAGCGTGACTTACTATGTTGGGATTCGGTTCGTATAGACAACATATTTCTCGAATCTGTTTCAAGGCAGGTAAAGCCCACTTATCGCCGCTCTTCAATTCTTCCACACATTTGTCCAACCAAATTGTTTTTTGAGCATCTCTTTCTTGCGAACACGAATAATCGAGAATTTTTACATGAGCATTTAGTGCTTGATCCATGATCTCTGTAGGTACCTCGTCAGAATGAGCCAAATTCCAAAAGAGAGTTAAAACCTAGTTTTAAAGAAAGGTACAATTAAGTTAAAATAAAACCAGAAATTAGATTATATGTACACGTGTAAACAAAAAAATAACTGAACCTTATGTGCCATTACGCCATCCTTATCATCTTCCGCTAATCTTCTGATTAATTCTAATAACTTTTCTCTTTGTTTCTTATTAGCAGTCTTCCAACTCATCTGGGATAAAAAATTTTTTTAATTAAATCATAATAATCATCGCGATAAATATAATTATAATTTCACGATTATGAATACCTGAAAACATTCAAAAAGATGATCGAGTTGTTCGGGGCTAAAATCCCAAGCAAGTTTGGCCAGTAAGTCATGAACATTTTTCACGATTGCTTCATGTTTCCCGGCTTGTGCCGCCCAAACAGCGTCTAAATCTTCTAAAGTCAATGCGCGTTCTTTTATAATAAAGCGTAAAATTTTTTCCAACTTTTCAACGTACTGAGGCTGATGCAACGAATCTCTCAAGACGATTTCTAATACTCCGTTCTCTTTTATCCATTTCTACGTAAACAGAACAATGTCAAATACTCGTTAGTCTTCATTGGCCTTCTGTGTAATACGCATATGTATACATAGAACACAGTTTAACACATTTCTATTTAGATAAAATTTTATTCGTGACTCACGAATGAAACGTTAATCGTTACGCGTTATGTAAACGAAAACACGATTCTTCGTACGTGTTCGCGCGTGTCTATGATCTTTATACGCGTATAATATTATATGTATTATTTGTGCGTTGTATATTAATTCTACGTGGAATACGTCAAACTATAAAATTATATAACAAATAAATATTTATCCGTCCGTCTTCGTCATTCGAATAAAAGCTTTATAGATATAAAACCTTTATTTGTGACCGACAAACACTATTAATAACGCCCAATCCTGGTAGAGTGTACGTTTATTTGAAATTGTTTCGACATTTCGATCGCATATATTTGCTTCCCTTCCGGGTGTAAATTTAGAAAGACAAAATATTGCAAATGAAATTTTGAACACAATGACAGTTTGCGGTATCTTGTCTTTTCAAGTTTATGTCCTGAAGAAAATTAAATAATCCATTGGATATCGAAGTGCAAACAAAATGAAGACACTATATCTTCCAATTAACTTTTATCTAATTTTTTAAATTGAACTTACAGCCATGCGTTCTGCGGTGAGCCATTCTTCTTCCTCGGTAATCGCGTTTCGATGTTGATAAAAACTAACCGTGGTAATTACTTTATTTACTTCATTTAAAGCATTCATTTTTCCATTGAACGAAGAAATTTGTAAGAGTCTCAATATCATTTTCAGTCTCAAAATTTCCAAATTTTTAATCATTTCGTCCTGTTGCGGCACACGCGACACTAAACATTTGGCGGCTTTGATTATGGCTGATATCGCATCATTTTTTGATTCATTTTTCGCTTCCTTCTTTAATTCTTCGTCAGTTAAATTATTCAAAATTACAGGCACCATTTCCTACGTGTAAGGGAACATGTTACAAAACAGAAATTCGGCTAGAATTGAATTTTACTAATTGAAATACTACACGAGATACTCACCACAATAGGCATAAGATATTTAACTATTGTATGAACAGTAAGTAGTTCATGACATAAACCAAAAGGTCTGATTAAAGCATAAATAACTGGTACTGTTAAATTTCGGCCGCTCTGAAATCTAGAGAGCAAAATCTCAAATCCATTATGACTTCCAAACCTGCAAGAAAATAGTATTAAGAACACAGTAGAAATCATAAAATCGAGAAGGATAATATTATTCATCCACCTATTTATAAGATCTACTAGCCAACCGCGAGGACTTCTTGAATCGGATGGTGGACGCGCATAAAGTTCTTCATCAGGTATATCACTGCAAGCGGGAACAGTTTCCGAAGGCCTTGCAGCATTAAATGTGTGAAATCTACAAAAAATACATCAGGATTTAATACTGCAAGGAAATCTTTTTTAATTATCTATATGAATATTTAACTCACTTATTACTAGGATTAAAAACCATCGCCAGCAAATCAAGGAGAGGAAACCAGTCCTCGTCCAGTTTCAGAACACATAGTTCCACCAACCACTGGCAGTTTGTATTAATACAATTCTGAATATTCAATTTCCAACTACTTACTGCATCATCGGTTAATATTTTGGTAAAAGAAATTGTGAGTCCCTCTCGAAAAAAGCGTTGACACGCTTCGCTTTGTACATCAATTCCTACAAAGAGTTGTATTCAAAATTAGTGTTATTTGATCGCGCAAAAGGAAGAAAATTACTTGTTGTAGACAACAACCTTTTTTACAAAGTTCGATACTGGCTCGCAGCAGGCACTCTAACTCCTGTTCTGGCAGAACTGGTACAACCCAGCGTGGACTAGATATTTTCTCATGAAGAATATTGAGTTTTGCTACAGGAAAATCAGGTTCCCCCTGGAGTTGATTACTATCCTCTACCGAAGTTAAGGTATCATTGGTGCATTCTGTTTGTACCACATTCTCTGTGAGTTGAAGTCCTGACATTGTGTCAGCCAATTGTTGCGGACCCGGTGGACTGTGCATCTATTATACGTTTTACATTAATTTGACAATAATAAAGGATTAAGTAAACTTGATCCGACCGGCAATTCTTAGATAAAAATATTATTGCAATGTACCTGTGTACTTTGCTGGCTGTCTGGAGGGTCTATGCCTACTCCGTGGCCTCTTGTGGCGATCGTCATTTTGCGTGCTCTTTGCTATATTCCAATTATCTCAATACCTCTTGGTCCAATAATCGCACCACCAATAACAATCATTCAACTCATTCACTGACATTAAATATAATTATACCCTAAAGGCCTTGTTTGAATAAACTATACCTACATTATCTGAAACAAAATAATAAAGTTTTCTCAACATTGACAAATATTTAATCACAATTTTCTACAGTTGTAAACACAATACCGTTCCAATGACCTTTTGTGAACCAACATTTTTCAGCACAAATATTACGAGTATATTATAGCATCTAAACTTACTGTACTAGACTTGTAGTAAAACATTTACAAAAAATTTACCAATTCGCATCTATAACTGTAAAAATATGTTGTCTGGTACATTCGCGTGTTGTTCAGGTCAAAAAACTACACCGCATCTGCAGTAATACACACAAAAGTGCGTTGTTAAATATTTCAGAGTATGTACTTGTGTTTGCAAATCATTTTTATAAATTTATTATTCTGTATATTGTTAACAGCTTAAATATTATTCACTTCGTATGCAAAAGAATTTTAGAATAGTTAAACAATTCATGACACTCACAGATTTGTTCAAATAAGACTAAAACGTTTATTCGTCCCTATAAAATTACTATCGAGAAAACTGGGTGCAAAACACTATTCTTGCATTCATTTTTAGAACCAGCATGCAAGCTTACAGCTTTCATGGGATACTTTGTGTAAACTCTAAATTTAATAAATTCTCCCATCCATGTTTAGATCAGCAATCAGGGCATTTGATAAAATATTTCGAATATTTTCGAGCACGACGAAATTTCTATTCCCGAAATTTTTAGAGAACAAAGGTAACACGCGACGGCGATTCCTACGATTACTTAATGCTCGAAAACGTGGGAACAAATCTGTGTGTCACCTGTAATTCAAGCCTGTCCCGGGGGTAGACCAGCGAGTGTCAATATTTCGCCGTCGAACACCAGAAAACGAATTTCAACGAGATCTACGAGGAAATGCAGATAACGAGGGACGTGTCGCAGATTCGGTAAGTCGCATGACAGCATGATCTTGCTAAGGTTTCAACCGACGAATTCCGATCATTTGTCCTCGGCCAACGAGAAACGGATTCTTTCGTAAACGATAATGGTGTCACTCGACCGCGCGGAAGGCTCGATGCAAAATTAATAATCCCGTCCAAAGGGCCCGTAATTCTTTTCCCGAATTTCGCAATCCGTACGAAAGGTACGATGTCATGTCGCGAATTATTCTTCCGTCTCGCTCTCTCTCTCCTTTCCTGGCTCTTTTTATTTCTTCGGGTGTATCGTCGAACGTACCGAGAGCTGTCAACCGTCAAAAATTCGAGCCAGGAAGCAGACCAAGCCGGCTCGGTTTCTGTCGATGAGACAGCATCATCGAGTAAACGGTATCCCGAAAGATCGTCGCCAAATTGGCTCGAAATTGCGCGAAAATAACGTATATGGCGTGCTTACAAAGAGCTAACGTCGAGCGGCGACGGAAAAGAAATCACAGATATTCGTATGCCCGCACTGCTCTCACGGGCATCAGATCTATTTCGTTAACAACGAATTAGGTAAAATGATCCCAGTCAACCGGTACCTATGTGGTTTCAACGATCCACGGTGTTCAGAGAGCAACTATTTTCGCCCCGTTCACTCAACCGGGCCACCTCCGGACAAAATGGCGACCATCCTAACGATTAGCACTGCCGTATTAAGAAAAACCTTTTTAAATTCCCTGCCCGAATAAATACCGATCAGATAACGACATACAGTGACACAGACTGTTCCTGCTATCACCAATTATCCCGTAAAGCTTTTAACAAGGGGAAACGCACCTTTACATAGTAAACGGTGGTAGAAATATTTGTTGCACTTTTTGACGTGACGTTATGGAACTCACTGGCGAATCTGTAAACACGGCTATGTTACGGCGCTACTGTCGTCTTCGAGTTAAAACGACCACCGTACACCACTATATTCACGGTGCTTCTCGTGCTTTTTCCCGATCATTCAATCTCGATCGCCACTTCCTTTAATCCCTGTTCATTGGTTTCTCTCGTATATATTCATTTTATTTATCGTCATCGAAGATTATATCGCAAATGCATTAACAGCTCCATTTACGCGGTTAATTTCATCCAAAGTTTACCGCGTAAATTGAATTCTATAAATACGGTACATCGTAGGGAGAAAAAGATCAGACTCGAATTAAGAATAATGTAGTACCATCGGTACGGGAAATATTGGGTAGTGTCAAGTAATTTTTGTTTAATCATAGGCTTTTCGAAAAATGTCAATGTTACGATATACATAGCCGTATATTTTTTACAGATAATTGTATTATTTTCGTCCTCGTTACAGGGTCGTCGTCGTGTTCCTTTACATTATCGCATTAAAAATTGATTAGTTTAACATTATAGTAACAGTTTTTCACCAGTAGTATTTAATCAAGAAAGAATATTGCGTCTATTAAAGATTCAAATGCAAGAAGTAATACGATGTTAATAGAAAAAACGATACATCGTTGACACCTTTTTCTTTAAGTAATTTATTTCCATAAAATTTAATATAACTGTACACAACATTGGCGAATGTAATTTTTCTTCCGATGTTAATTCATTTTATAGTATATCCATTACTCCAAAGATTAAGCTATGTTTTATACGAATATCGTTGAATATGCGCGTCAGAATGAATAATAATATAACTTTATGAGAACTTTACATGGACATACCTTGCATGATAATTTGTTCTTTATCGAACAAAGATTATTATAGAAATTTTATAATTGAAAACGTCGAAACTAATAAAAGCAAGGTAAAGAATATTTCTCTCTTGATTTGTACAATTTCATTCGCTCGATTAAATTTACTAAAGTTTTTTTTCCGAGTAGACATGTAAAATAAAAACAATCTTGAACAATACAATTATTCTTATTACACACTAGATATACATAGAGAATTGAAAAACAAAAAAGGGTAACTTTTAACTCTTGTTAAGGAAAAAAAAAAATGGTATATAAGAAACGAATTAATTAAAAAAGTTAACTTTCTTTTATTACTTAAGTGTTTCTCTAGCTGTGGAACAATAGTTGATACTTTTTTTTGGAAGTTCTTTTCATTTATTTATTAAACTGTGCCAAGTAAACTTGTTTCATCCGACCAGTCTTATAATCCTTGATAGCAAGAAAAATATGAAATGTTAATCTTAAACGTAATACGAGGCACGAAAAACAGAAATATCGTGTATACGAACAAAACATATTCTCAAAATTATAACAATTAAATCACAAAATGATATGGTCTATTTAGAAACCATTAGTAAATGTTCACGGATAGTGAACGGAGTGTTACAAGGAAAAAAAAAATAGTACTCAATAATTTACAAACATGATAATTTAAATAACAGCACCTGCCTCCAGGAACTTATTTTTTGTGTGCATTTAATCTTACAATCACGCTACTTTTCTTTCTCATGCTTCCCGTCTGATTTATAGTTTATATAATCTCCTACTTGACGAACGTAATACCAAACGATGCTTTTGCATTAATCTTTGGTACTACTTGGAAATATTGTTTTAAATGAGAAATCTGTTAAGAAACAAAATATCGATGCTCTCTAATTATTAAAGAATACGTGCGATGGACCATATTAATCCCTTTATCATCGCTCACAGACAAAATTTATGCTTGTATCTTAAACTCTAACAACCTCAATGATGTGGAAACATGTTCAAATCCACTTCCAAAATTTAGTTTGTTCCCACTACCTCTCCGCAGAATAAAAATTTTATTTACAGTCAAACGTAACTTCCTTACGTACGATACTGTAAACGATGGGCCGAGATCATTTTCCGTTCTCAGGAGAAACATTCGGACTTGTCCTTTTTTGTTAATTGTATACATCCGCAATTTGAAATGTTCATCATAAAGCAAGCTCTTCGAGTTCCTTTACTAAATCAGCTTCTTTCTTGATCTTGTCCATTTGATTGATTTCTAATTGTTTGCCTGCTTCTAATTGTTCCTTCAATTTTGAAATCTGCTCTAATTTCTATGTAGAACGAAAAATATAAAAATTTATATCACCAAATATCACTTCTAAGATCTTATTAAATTAAGCAAAAGTTCTTACAACTTTGATCCTTTTAATTTTTTTACTCCTCTCCAATTCGTCACATTCAGGAACATTTGCGGTAGTTAAACTTTGACTTTTTGTGCTTGTAGTGACTTGGCCATTTGTATTTGGATTGTTATAATGCGACTGAGAAGACGCGGAAGCTTCAGATTCCTTCTTAACTTTCTTCGTCTTTTTCTTTGTTTTCGCTGTGCCTTTAGCTATAAATAATATAATGCAACAAATATATAGACTTTATTAGAAATTTACATGTTTTTCTCAAACGTACCGTCTGTCCCTTTTTTAATTCCGAATTCTTCGTCATCGTGTAATTTAAAACATATAGTTTTCCCTCTTGCAGAAGGTGGTCGATACACTTGCTTCGATGCTGTAATCGAATTAATGTAACGATTCTATACTTTTGTTATGTATTATGAAATATCTTTACCTTGTGGCTGGCTAGGAGCGATACCCTCGACAGCTTTATAGCTGATCGCTTTCTCCGGGAATGTATTTGGTGGGAACGTTTGCCAAAGTACTTCCCAAAGTGCTTCTTGTTCATTCCATGGACGTTCGTATAATAATGTTCCCGTGTAGTGCCAAATCTTAAATCTTAATTATAAATTTGTTACTATAAATAGATATTAATTTTTAATTCCGTCCATCTAAACATTACTCACCCATTACCCATTCGAAGTCTGGGCGCTGTAGTTGCAGTCATGAAGTGTTCTCCATCCGGAGACCATTGAAGAAGCGTAGTATCGGGTGCATCGGTTTTAGCAATTAATTTTCTCTTACCAACATCCCACAGTTCGATTCCACCGCGGAGATTGCCAAACCCAGTCAATATCAGAAGTACAACAGTGGTTAAGGAAATTAATTGTTTAATAAAGAATAGAAACATTTCTATTAAGTGCACGACTTAAATAATATTTTTAAGCGACTAAAGGATATTATTTCCTTGTGGATTGTAGTAAATACTATTTCGATGTAGTACTCCAAATTCAAATATCGATTCACACTTAAGATTAAATAATGTGGCTTTGGCTGGCATGAAACCGTATATAACACAGAATTCAGTATTTTTTGGTGACCACTCCACTGCATGTATGGGACCTTCCTTACCTAATGTAAAAAATGAAAATGAAAGTTTTTATATAAAGAATAAAGCGAGCTTGACGGTTTATAAATAACTAAAATCAATAAATTGTTACTTACTGAACATAACCATAGCAGTTTCTCCTTTTGTATTAAGATAATGCAAAGTCTGTTTTCCATAATACGAAGCGCCCGTTTTGTCAACCTCTAAACACGTCATTAATAAAGCACTCGTTCCAACATTATTCCAGTACATATTCACTCTGTCTGCCTAAGGATGAATATTTCGATGAATATCGATATCTTTAGGTCTATATATTCTATAAACGCAATATGATACCTGGAAAAAACTTTTATTTGCCAAAGACTGTGTGGATTCGAATTTTGGATATTGGAATAGTCTGCCAAATGAAGGTTGACCAGATTTTCCTATGATACAGTAACATAAATTACAAAATCAATTCGACGTATACAGTTACAGTATCATTATAATACATATAATTATGCGATTAAAAAATTTGGCATTTAATGTGGAGAGTACTTATTTTTACAAATTTTTCATGTAATAATATAGCAACAGTATTATTTGTCACGTTAATGTCAAGCCTACAATATTAATTTTAATTAATGTTCTGGATATTATTCTATTCATAATTACCTTTTAAACATTCTTTTGATTCCCTATGACTTTATTAATGTACTTACATTTTAAAACTGTGCATGCAATAATCAGGAAAATTTCCCATTACTGTTGATCCTGATCATATATATTCATGCTTGTCTATTTTGCAAAATACCATTATGTATTAATTCTGTTGTACTTCGTTACAATATTAAAGTGTTCTATAGATATAATTGTTTTATAATCTTCATTCCACCTGTGCATTTACATGCTTGCCACACATATTTGCTTCATAATGAGAAACTGAAATAAAAAAGTACTTCATAAAATATGCCAATTTTTATCTCAGCTATACCTGAATTATACTACTATTAAACACTTCCAGATTTATATATTTCAATCCACGACGCACAGTTGTCACTTGATCTTTCGTGGCATTACAATTTTTTAGTTTCTAGTTATCTATTTGTATTAATTTTCTTCATAATAAACCCCGCGATTAATAAAAACTATTTGTTTTTAAATTAAATAGTTCCTTGACAAAAATAATATACTCTCCACATATAAGTACCTTTACATAAAATACATGTATTTATAAGATTTAAAATTAAATGCTACAAAATGCAATTACCCGGCATGTAACAGAGAATATGATATGGAGTATTACTGGGCGATATACTAAAAGTAGCAACTTTGGCTACGTTTATTTTGTGAGCAATTTTTGAAAAATTGACATCCTCGTATAGAATAACTTCCGCGCCAATTAATATCCCACAGAGTTTCTCGTCGCTTGACCACTGAGGCATCCTGAATAGACATGATACGAATATAGCTACATGCTAAATAAAATTCACCAAACATTTATGTACATACATCTTGAAACGATTATGCAAATGAAACATTAAATAACAATGTGAATAATATACTTCTATCAAAGATATTGTATAAAATTGAATTATCACATTTTCAATGTGTAAAGTGTTTCTGAAAATAGTGTTTTCCTCGATCTGTCAAATACACAAGATCAAAACAGACATTATCTTACAATAGATTATTTATCAAGATTATAATAATAATTGATCAAGTAATACTTTACCAATCTAATTGTTTCTTCTGTATTAAACTATTCACTAGTTCTCCATTCTCAGACTTCCATATGTGAAGATTTGGTGATCCTTGAGGATTAGATTGTGTCACTGTAACATAAAAATTAATAATACTCTGTATAATATTATTAGTTATACTATCTAATGTATGTTATATATTGTACATTAATTACACCAAAGCTGAAGCTTTGAGCTGAATTATTTATTTTAATAAAAAAATCTTATATAAAATAAGAATGCAAATAAAATAAAACTAAAACATAAAGAATATTATATATGTAATTTGTACAAATAAATAATATTGAATATAGTCTAATACCAATGAATGGTTCCCATGTCATAAAATATGTGCCTCGAGTGGAGAACTGAATTGAAGAAATTTTGGGCCTCTTGATTTCTGTGGTAACTTTCCATGTATCACATTGTAAAACCTTGGTAGAAATCCCATTTACCCATGCAAAAAAACTTCCCTCTGGACTGAAAACCATCGCTTTACATGTTTTGCTGTCATCTTTAGGAAATGTTTTAACCGGTTCGTACGATGGTGGGCCTTGTCCTAAACTGACCCCAATGGAACCTCTCACTATAAAAGAAATTAAATTGTCAATTTCTCAGTTTCTCTTGAATTTGTCAAAGATATTGATTAAATCAGTTTTAACACGTATTGACTAAACTTATAAAATTGAAAAGATAACATTTTAAATATAATGTTTAAACGCGATATAAATTACATAAAATTAACGAGATACTCTGACCAAAAGAATTTCAAATAACTCCAAATTGTTTACAAAATTATCAGTAATTTTCTAAAGAAATACATGATAAATGTTCTTTGGTCGAAAGCGCATACTCATTCGTGTTTATACTATTAAAATGTAATGCATTCATTCTGTCTCAAATATGTTTAGTTATACGGTGCCACATGACATTTTCGTGCAATCAATTGCAGCATATTATAAAACTTGTAATCGTATTGTGAATAGATATGTACTTCACAGATCCGTATGTTGTCCGTGAGAAAATACTAATTGAAACTCGATCTCTAATTGAGCAAAATATCCATAAAAACAATATAAAAATACTTACCAGCGACACAAGGTACAGGCAACGCCATTTTACCTCCGTTACCATGTGGTACCGTAATATCGAGTATCGAGTTGATACAGTGTGGCCAGATTTGGCATAATTGAGTGTATCGACAGCGGCACTAGTAACGACGAACTTCCTTAGCTTTTAACAGAGTGGTGGGGAAAGCCGACATATCCTACCGCACGAGCCACATGTTACGCCAGGTCAGCACTTCATGCAACTTCGGTGAACAGGAGCCTTTCCTTCTTGCTCTTGAACAGCTGAAGTCCGTCCTCGCGTCAATGGCATACAATTTCGAATCTCGACTGCCCCGACATTTTCACGTTTCAAGTTATATGGGCACAAATATACATATAACCAAAGCCCATATTGAATGAAAAATTGACACGTAAATACACGTTTCAAGACCCCCTGATCATGTTTGACATGAAACAATACTTTGGAAATAAATCGTTTGAATATAGTTTATCAAGTAAGACTGTCGAAATTATTTTCAAACGATTTATTTTCTAATTGTTCTATTATTTCAAATAATAATTTTTTGATTTTATAGCAAAGAATGTTTATTTAATATCAATTCAATAAATTCAATTTGTATTTGTATATTTTTCGCCTATATAGGTAAATATACCATGTTCAGTTTTATTGCATAAGTTGTTCCCACAAATGAGATTTTCTTGGTCTTTAAAAAGACCGGTTCTGTCCCTTGGCCGCTGCTCGTGAAACATCTTCTTGGCCGCCAACTTCCGATTTTGATCGAATGTAAATCTTCAATTAAATTCTTCATCTCGATACGGTCCGTGTTGCTTGGGGGTTGAATACGAAGAATATTCGAAAAGTTGTTCCTTAACGTCGTAAAGTGACAAATTGGTCAGAAAAATTGTCAATTTTCAAACGATCATAACTTTTACAATAGTAAAACTTATATCATTGAAATTTTTTCTAGAAGTTGAGCTCATGAATACCTAGAAAAAAGTATTAGACAACATTTCATTTTGATTTCGATTAAAACTGAAATTTATATTGTTTTAAATTCGCAGCCATTAGCTCGGTGTTACCCATAATGAAGAAGTTCTTCTTGAAAGGTAACACCGATTACCAGGTCTCACCACGAGGAGGTTGCTGCGATTGGAGACCCAAAGTGAGATCGATGGAACAAAGTTCGATCGACCTTCCTTTTTACACACTTAGAAACTAGATTACGCAAAAAAAAAGATGCCAAGTAATTACTTTTCTAAAACAAAGGAGGAAGGTAAATTGTGGGAGACGCGACACGACGAAACGCGACACAATACTGCACAGTGCAGTAGGAACATGAGGTGCGACACGTACCGAATAGCGGGTCAAAAGGGGCAGCTCGTTACCTCTTAGCAAGTCCAATTGAAGGGGAGGAGAATCGACGCACCAGACACGGGTTCCCCATTTCTCCAACGCGTCCTGCTGGGAGCCCGTAGGACCCAACCCGGGACGTCTGACACAGGAGAGGGATCCTGAGTCGGGGCTACCGCAGACAGGAACAGGTCCCCTCTACGGCCGATGACTCTTTCCCTAGAATTGTCTCACCAGAGGACGGCAACCGACCCTTCGAACCATCTAAACGGCCGATCACTTGCTTTCTACATTAAAGCAGCGGTGACCGGAGAAACGAGACTGGAAAAGAAGCTATTAATTCATTCATTACTTGGCAATCTACGCAGTAAATAAAATAATATACAATGTAAATTGAAAATTAACGTCGTAGGTGGAATTGAGAATTAATGTGAATTAATGTGAATTAATGAAATATAGGAAACATCGGAAAAACAAGGAAAAGAAGGAAAGAGAAAAATTCGACGTTAATTTTTACATTCGCGCTGCGCCTTAAAATTAATCGCTTACGTGTAAATCCCGATGAATCCGACGTCATCTATTGATCTCCTCCTCCTCCTAGAAATTGATCTGGTAAAAAACTGAAATAAAAATTAGTAGTTATGTGTACATGTAGACAAATAATAAAACCTAAATAACAAATTAGTTTGAAATAAGGAATTGGAACAATCCAACGAAGTAAATTAACGAAACGAATCATTCGAAAAAAAAGAAACCAACGATGTGTACTTTGAATTATAGATTAATTTTGAAAATTAAAAAACCAACGAAGCGCAAGACGAATAACAAAATAAATCGTAAAAGAACAAACCAACGATGAAAGCGAGACGAAGATAGAATAGAATAAATTGAAAAATATCAACCCAACGATGTAATGAATATAGATAAAACTAGATGAACGAAGAACCCAAATATGAAAATACCTAAATACATAAAAATGCAGAAAAACACAATATTTTCATTAGTTATATTAATATTAATTGTATCTATACCAAAACCAAAGGGTGATCCTTCCTTCCTGGTCAGCATCGCAGAAGATATCTGAAACAGAAAACAAAAACGCGTGACAGTACCCCCGGCGGTTCCAGGAGTACTGAAAATAGTTGCCCAGCTGTGTCCACTTTTATGCAGTCAAGCCAAAGAATCAACGAGCCAATCAGCAGCCAGTCCGCTGGGGGTGACCATCGTCCGTGCTCCTTGAAACGTTATAAGAGCCCCCTGAGGCCCTCGCGCGGGAGTTATCTCCAACCACCAAGCAAGACAGACCGCATCGAGATGAAGAATTTAATTGAAGATTTACATTCGATCAAAATCGAAGATGGCGGCCAAGGGACAAAACCGGTCTTTTTAAAGACCAAGAAAATCTCATTTGTGGGAACAACTTATGCAATGAACTGAACAACTTTTATATTTAACAACTCAGAGACACTTTACATCTCTGTTTTGTAACAACTTTTATATTTAACAACTCAGAGACACTTTACATCTCTGTTTTGTAACAACTTTTATATTTAACAATTCAGAGACACTTTACATCTCTGTTTTGTAAAAACTTTTATATTTAACAACTCAGAGACTCTTTACATCTCTGTTTTGTAACAACTTTTATATTTAACAATTCAGAGACACTTTACATCTCTGTTTTGTAACAACTTTTATATTTAACAATTCACAGACACTTTACATCTCTGTTTTGTAACAACTTTTATATTTAACAACTCAGAGACACTTTACATCTCTGTTTTGTAACAACTTTTATATTTAACAACTCAGAGACACTTTACATCTCTGTTTTGTAACAACTTTTATATTTAACAACTCAGAGACACTTTACATCTCTGTTATGGAACAAGTTATGCAATAAAACTGAACATGGTATATTTGCCTATATGTATAGGAAGGAAATTCGTCGTTAGTATTGTCGCCCGTCAATGCACTTAATTATGCAAGATCAGTATACTATCTAATTTTATTTTTTATTATACCGGTTTGTAATATCGTAAAGATCAATGCAAAAACATTATGCACGGCTCTTGTATTTCTTTGATTTATCCAAGTAGTCAAAGTATAATATTTAACAAACTTCTGATTCAAATAAAACAACGAAAGACACAAAATTTGTGTAAGTACCTGTTACATGCAACCTATGTATAAATGCATAATAACTAATATTGATATACGCATAACGAACTTAGTTTGTGATATGAAACATTAAGAAAAGTGTAAATTAATAAATAGGTTTCAAAATGGGTATTCCAGGTTTAACAATTTTCATAAACAATCGTTCAGATCGTTATTTGGAATATTTCGAGCCACGTGATACGTATTTAGTTATTTAGCTGTCAAATATATAATTCGTACAAGTGCAATTGTGTGTTTGGCGGTGATTACGATAAATACGCTCAACGAGTATCGGATTTTTCTGACGTTTTGTTAAAGTGCAATGTAGTACCATTAGTTTTGATCGATGGCGGTTGCAAGGATAAGAAACTGCAAACAGTTATATCTAGAGCTAAAGAAAAGATTCGTACAGCATCATCTTTTTCTCCGATCTGTCAACAGAAAATGAAATTTTTTCCTTTACATATTTAGGAAGTTTTCAAAGATGTTACGAGAAAGAAGAATATTCGTCATGTGCAATGCTTATTCGAAGCTGATAATGCTATAGCTACTGTAGCAAGGATATTGAATTGTCCTGTATCGAGTTATGATTCAGATTTTTATGTGTTTGGGACATTGTACATACCATTTGATACATTGGACAATTACCATTAGCTGCAATATTACTAGGCAATGATTATGTAAAACGTGGTACATTTAGAAACTTCTTTCATTATTTAAAGTTACAACGAATAACAAGAAAAAGGTAAAGTAATCGACAGTATTGTATAGAAGCAACTTTACAATGGTTGAGCGGATTTTACATCTTGGACAAAGCAGTCATTGGAATACTATGTAGATCACGTAACCTAGAACCGTAAGACAAAAAATGGCTATACAAATGCATCTACAGAAATACTTGCTTACTTCCATTGGGGTTTTCACAGGAATATGCAGCTTGTGCCACAACACATTCCATAAATAGAATTTTTAAATTTGATGCAGATGTTAATAGTCTAATGTACATGGAAGAAACTGATAAAAATGGAGACTGAATCATCCGAAGAGGAAGAAGAAGAGGAAGAAAACGAAGTTGAAATATTAGACATGCTTAAAGGGGTCAGAATCTGCTACCACTAATGCACTAGCTAATGTACCTAATTTGTTTGTAGATGAATTTCTTATGGGCAATTATCCTGCATATTTTATGGACTTGTTGGTTCGACGTTTATATATTTGTCCTGTACAAATAGAGGATTATTCCTATCCATTGAGCAATGTAATAAGTTTAAAAACTATTAGAGTTATATATGCATTTCTGCAATCAGGAATGAATAGAAGGAGAAGTTTTATGAAATACATGATGAGAGACTGTAATAAAAAGCTTAAATGTTACGAACCAGAAGGCACTGACACTAAATTTTCTTCCCCATTACTGTCCTTATCTAATCTTAGAGAAGTACCATTAACGAGTCCAGGATTAAAAAATAATGTACAAATATGCGTCATTGATTTTTCATTACCATTTGAATTTAAATTCAAGTTATCTAGACACAAATATATAAGCAAAGCTCATAATGAATGAAAAATTGACAAGTAAATACACGTTTCAAGACCCCCTGATCATGTTTGACATAAAACAATACTTTGAAATTAAATCGTTTGAATATAGTTTATCAAGTAAGACTTTCGAAATTATTTTCAAACGATTTATTTTCTAATTGTTCTACTAT